TTTTCCCCCCCCCCCCCCCCATTAAACGGAACATTTCAAATGTAGGTATTACAACACTGTGTACTTGGAAATAAACCTTCTGTACAAAGGGATGGTATTCATGTTAGTACATTCTACAATCACTAACTTTATGTCTATTACAGATCAATATTTTCTTGGAGTTCTAAAACTAATGATATGATTGAATAGTCTACCTAATAAAGAAAAAGTTGGAATACACTGTAGATTAATAATTGCAATAAAGAAGCATGTTCTTATTTAATATCATTTGTTATGCTTTTTATTTCAAGGTTTCTACTTTACAGACTTTCGTGTCCATTTATCTTGCGTATTCTACAGACTGCAATATTAAGCAATGACTTATTTTACTTCAGCTATTTCCATATACCTGGTAAGTATAAATGTTAATGTTGGTCAAGGATGTGTAATCATTGCTGTGTTTTAATAGTGGATAGCTTAAAGAAGAAATAGACACAAGCTGAAAAGCTATTATTTGGAACACCTAAATATTCCAGGCAGGGCTGTCCCTAGGGAGGGGGCAAATCAGGGCGACCACCATGCTTTGGGGGGCCATGCAGAGATGGGCGGAGTGGTGGCTCCACATCCAGCCATTTGCTACCCCCCCCCCCACTACCCCCTTGCAGCTTTTTCAGGTCCTGGATTGGAGTGGGGGTGGGGCTCCACATGGGCTGATTTGCCCCAGGCCCCATATCCTACTTGGGTTGCCTCTAATTCTAGGTGTATTTTAAGTTAAGGGACTGATCCCTGATAAAGGTAGGTCATTTATTACATTTTGATCTAGGTTTTAATTTTGAGCACTTACGTCAGGGAAGAATCAGACTGGGTAGAAAGCACTCAGTCCAGTGCAACTGTGTTCAAGCTTCTGAAAGTATCCAGTTCTCAATAAACAAAGTCCAAGGCCCCCTTTACACATGCAGGTATATGTACGATAGGATCTAATGCTCAATTCACACAACCTCACCTCCTGTCATGGCAGGAGGTATGATTGTGGGATCACACATTTGATCCCATCATACCTTATTGCTGGTGCAGGGGGATCTCAATCCCAGGCTCCCCCTTCACCAACAAGAAGCAAGCAGCCCCAAGCCCTAGGGATTATGGCTTCCTTGATCCTCAGAGCTCAGGGGTTTCACTCTGGGCATAGCACACTCCTACCGCCAGGAGCTCTTCAACGGATGTGGCTCCCAGTCACAGGGGATACCCTGCTACATGTGCAAATTAAAGCTTGATATTGATAGCAACTAGCTATAAAGTTAGTACACATTTTATTAGATCCTACTTTATAGATGGCTGGAACTCTTTATGGAATGATAGCTACTTTGGACATATAAATGGTCTTAACCAGTTAATTCTGCAATGCATTTAATGTGTAGAAGGGGCCCAAGAGGCAAACATAAGCATCAGTATTTCTGCTCTTGGCTGGGGGTGGGGGATTGGGGGCAGGAATGGTTTTTAGACTTTCAGTAGGTTTAAAATTTGAAGTGTAAAAAAAGCATTATTTTCTGCTATCAGACTTTGCAGATGTCTTGATTGGTCTCAGCATCCTTCTCCCATCAGCTCCTTTTGTTATTCTACAGATTCCTCCCTTCCCCTTTGTCCATGTCTGTCTGTTCTCTTGTTGGAGAGAGCAGTTTATAAGCATGGCCCTCAAAATGCATGACTCCTCTTACTTCTTGTTTGCCCCTTCCCCGACAACTTTCTTGTTTCTGCCATTGCCACTTCGGACAAATATATAGCGCTACCCTAGTCCTTAAAATGCTTTGACTCATGAACTGCCTGGTCATTATCAAGTTTAACACATATTTATTATTTTACCTGCTTGGTCTTACCTGCCTTTTAAGTTCCTTAGACTTAGCATTCATTAAAAAAAGAAAGCATGCTTTTTAACTCTAAATCTTATCTAACATGCTCTGCTAATAACACACTTGCATACTGATTCATCATAACCACTTTGTTCAAAACAAAAAAAAAAGAAAAAGAAAACATTCAAAATAAATTTATAATACCAGTTTTGTCTCACCATCCTTCCTTTCCTTCTCAAAGCTGTTTAATCTCACCATACTAATTCCTGCTCTAAAGTCTCTCTATAATTTAGGGATGACGAATCAAATACTTCCCATCACCTTTCGCCTGCTAATCCTTTATTCTCTTTCCCTTACCTCCCATAGTCACTCAGTACTTACCTACATTACTTACTTTAAATTTCTCTTTAAATGCAGTATGTTGAATGTGGCTGAGGATTAAAACTAAAGATCATATGGGATTCTGAAATGGGCTCAACTGTGCATGCAGCATGCACACAGTGGCAAAAACTAGTAAAATGTAATAACTCAGTGTGTCAAACTATGGATTATAAAGTCAATGTGATGCACCTAGATTTCTGTGTAGCGCAGTAGATATCAAGGTTAATGGCAAAAGCCCACATTACTTTTAAAATCTGTTGGAGTTTATTTTTTCCCCAATATAATGTACTGACAACAATAATAAAACTACTTTGAGATGACAGCAGCTTTCCATTTCATTTCACTGCACTAATGAATAGATTTGCATTTATAGTAACATTAAGTCAGTTAAGGGTAGGAACTTTCCCTATGCAATGTATTTAGGATAATGCATGGTTCTTTTTGCAATTACTTGGCTGTAATTAAATATGTGGATTGTGCTGACTTGTACCAACCAAGCTTTTTCTTTGAGGTTTATTCTATTAACTGACTGCTTCAAGTGAATTGCGGTCTTCTTGCTAAGTAAGTATCCTGAGTAATGGACTTAAACAAAAATACTGAGCATATTTGTGAAGCTTTGCTTTCAATAAAAGAGAGAGAGAACTTTGAAGTTTATCAAAAGGAAAGAAACATTCCTAATGGAAAACAAAACATGCACATTCTCAAGCACTAGAATGTGGTTTACCTTGCATTTGATAAATTAAAAAAAACCCCTTCAACAACTCCAGTAGCAAGTAGGGGGGGGAAATGGAAGAAGAAAGCTTGAAGTGTGAGTTGCACAAAGAAAAGACTTATCTGATAGTCTGTCCCTTAGCACTTGTAAAAGGAGATACAGTTTTGGAATATGAATTACTTTTAGTGTATTTTCTTCCCCACTCTTAAATTATTTATTCATCGTAGGCTACAAACAGATGCTGCCCTTCTTTGTCATAATAATTTTTATGGCAGCACAAAACCCAAGTGAACAGACATCCCTGCCCCTTGTCACTCCACACACACCTAAAAATGGAAGGATGATAATTCTTAATTGTGTCACTTTCTCATGGGTGATGTCAGTTCATTTATGACATGAGACCTTGAGGTTGCCCGGAGTCCTCAGCTGCCCCACATGCGTGGCCTTGACCTGGGCGCACCCTGGGGAACCCTAAGGCCTACCCTACTCCACACTTGCAGATGCATGCCCCAGGAATACTCTGGCAGAGGAATTCTCTGGGTACATGTCTGTAAGGATGGAGCCAGGAAGTCCATAGGTTTCCTCATTCTGCAGGTGCTGTGCATGCCCCAGGTTGGTGGCAGGCACCTAGGGCTGTTGTGAAGATTTGGGCCCCTGAAGCTCTGGGAGCAGCAGGGGTCTGATCCTGCTGGACAATGGTTCTGGGCAATGTCTGTCTCTTCCCATCTATTGCATCAGCAGGATACTTCCCAGTAAAGCTGATCCTGCTACAAAGACGACAACCATTTGTAGCCTAAAATCAGGTTCAAATCCAGCCTGAGTACATATGTTCTGGAAGGCATTAAATCCTGAGGGCTAGAGACTCCACAACTCTCCATGCTGTTTTTTTCAGAATAGCATCTTTGGTTAAGTATTCCAACCAGCTGTAAGAATTTATTGTTTTGTGAAGCAAAGGCATATAAATATGATAATTATATCAAAATTGAAACCCTGAAAATTAGGGTTTCTACCACTACTTGGAAAACATATTAGGTCTGGTGGGCCAATATGGCATTCCTACTTCATCCCACTTCCTGGAAATTCTAAAAGGCACCATAATACATCTCTTTGAGATGAAGTGCCAAATGCAAGTGATAAGATTTGAGGCCAGACCAGTTTTCATGTGGGAGTAAAAATATTAGAATTTGCCAAACCAATTTTATACAAAGAGTTGTTGTTTTTTTCCTATTAATGCAGCTCTCCCCAGATTTTAGCAGAGAGAAATTATCAGCCTCCTGCATATAAAGACAGACTTTGAGCACTCACAAGGAATGGGGACAAGGAGAAGCAACATTAGAATTGGAATTCAAATCTATTTACATCTTTATTATTTGTATTATGATCATGCTCAGAAGTCCTTGTCACAAACTTTAAAAAGAACTTATAAACTGCTGTCTTCAACAAGAGAACAGACAGACATGGACAAAGGGGAAGGGAGGAATAATAAGATAACAACGAGACAGAATTGTTTAGCGTTATCACAGTGATTTCAGAATACCGTTGGTCTAACTCCTGTCAAGCTTTTGTGGTAGTTATAGAAAACAGAAAACTTTAAAACAAAAGTTTCTGAAAGATATTCTTTTGGGCTCAAATTTAAAGGAAGTAAAAGTGTGGGGGGGAGGGGGGATACATTCTGGAAGTATGCTGTAAGTAAGAGGAAGATCATGGAAAACAGGTCCTGAGTGAATGGAGAAGGCCACCTAGTAAAGAATGACATGGAGAAAGCAGAGGCATTTAATTTCTTCTTTTACTTCAGCCTTCATGAATAAGGTCATCTGTCTGAAGAGTGCATTTGGCATGGATGGGGGAGAGGATAATCAGACAAGAATAGGAGAAGAAAAGGTTGGAGATTACTCAGAGAAGCAGAATATATTCAAGGAGAGATATATACTAGACTACTCCATAAGTTGGCTGAGAACTGCAGAGCCACTGGCTATGCTCTTTGGGAATTTGTGGAGTTCCTGGACAACTGGACAAAGACAAATACAATGCCAAATTTAAAAAAAAAGGGCAGAAAGAGGATCTGGGAGATTGCAGACTAGTCATTCTGACCTCAGTACCTGGAAAGATAATAGGGCATGTCATTAAGGGATCTATTTCTATTCACTTGGAAGGGAACAAGGAGATCACTAACAGCCAACATGAATTTGGCAAGTGCCATACAAACCTGATTTCCTTTTAGAACAAGGTGATAGGATTTGTGGATGGGGAGTGAGGGAACAGAAATGTGATACACCTTGACACCATCTCCCATGATACTTTCATTCATAAAGAAATACAATCTAGTCAAAACTGCTGTAAGATGCATACATAACTAGTCGGATTCACACTCATGTCATTAATGCCTCAGAGCCCAACTGGGAGGAGGTATCAAGTAGAGCTCCTCACAGGGTTGACCTTGGTCAAGTACCGTTTAATATTTGTAATATTGATGGG